AATTTTATATACAAAAATTACTACTTATTTACAGAAATAGTTACTTTAAATGTTCATTAGTTCGGGATTTGTCCATTCTTTATTTCTACAGCAAAATATGTAGTACGTTGATCGGATGGCAATAGATATAATTTTTCTGATACAATATTGTTGGTGTTGATTATCCAGTCTTAACTCATTTAGCATTTTTACGCATGTATGACATTCTTTGTCAAACACTCCTAGCGAACTGACAGAAAGATTTATAAATTTGACAGATGTAAAGTTTTGATCCAGTTCTCTAATTAGGTTTTTATATTTAGCTTTCTTGCGGTTAACATTGTTTGTGAGGTTTGATTCAAAGCCTACAGTAAGTTCAACAACGTAGAGGTGTTTGTCTGAAGTGGAGACAAGTAAATCAGGACGATATTCATCTCCCGTAATAATCGAGGGGCTTTCAAATCCAGGAAGATCAACATGTAATTTGCATTCGTTTAAACTTTGAAAAGTTTTTGCAAGAAAGGTTAGTATACAATCGTGTCTCCAAGTAAATCGTTCCAGGTAATGTTGACAACCGGCAACAACGTGTAGAAGTGATTCAGGGTGTAAGCAGAACGAGCAGTCAGAACTTGATGAAATTCCCCATCTACTGAGGTTCTTTCGGGTAGGAAGGGTATTATTTATATAGCGAATTGTAAAGTTGAAAATGTTCTTTGGTAGCTTTGATTGCGATACCGACCAGATTGCGTTAAGTTGTGATAGCGAGAATTTAGAAACATTTTCGAAAAAGGAACCTTGACATTTCAAACGGTTCCTAAGTTTATTTTCTTGTTGAGAATGGAAAGTTTTTAAAACTTCTTTAGTTGAGTTGTAGCTATTGTATTGAACGTTACGGAGATGTTTTTAGGGCATTGCGTAGAACTGTTTGACACTGAATGAATTTGACTGATGCAGGGAGGATATTTAAACCAAACTTATTACGGGTTATAGAAAAACGTTACTTAGTGTTCCAGATATAGGTACTTCCAGCCATTTTCGGATGTACTTGTTCACCGAAGAATCGATATTTTCGACTACCCAAGTTTTAGATATCGTAGCAACAGTAAAATGCCAGGATAGCTTTGACAAAACATAACGACTGTATAGTAAAATTTTGTTTTTTGGGTGAAGAGGTTTAAGATCTATTTCGGACATTAGTTCATCAATGATGGAAATCACTTCAGATTTATGTTTTTCATTAGTCATGTTAAAGTCGAAATGTCGTCCCAAATACTCAAATGATTCTCCAGTCTTAATCGTTGGTATGAGATCCTTATTGATCAAAAGCTTCGGCAGGTACTGGGCAGATTTTGATAAAACTTTTTTGATGCCAAATGTGCTACATTTATCAACTCTAACAACCATGTTGGACCATTGACACCAGATAGAGAATCGATTAAGGAGATGTTGATTTTCCGACTCTTGACCAGTAATAACCGCAGCATCATCGGCAAACTGAAACCAGTGGATTGGATTAAGAAGTTGGAGGGAGAAACCGAACTGACGGTACTTTTCAGCTTTGATATGCTGAATATATGTGTTGAAACATATATTAAATAGTAGAGGACTAAGACAGTCACCTTGCAATACACCACGGCCAACAGGTATAAAATGGGTACGGAACTCAGACGTAATTACGGAAGTTTTAAAATCAGTGTATAAGCTTTTTATTAAATTATTCATGTGATTAGGGATGTGATGATAGCCAAGGACAGATTGGATTAAGTTGTGATGAACTTCTCCAAAAGCGTTTTTGAGGTCAAGTAGTGTGATGACATGTGAACGTTGTTTTATACGAGCTTTGTTTATTATATTAGCCATTTGCGCAGTATGTTCCATAGTACCAGACAGATTTGGGGTGAAGCCTTTTTGTATGTTATGTTCTATAAAGTTATTGGCGGTGAGAAAGGAGTACATTGCGTTACGCAGACATGATGTAAATACTTTAATACTTTTTAATACTTTAATACTTTTTTTTTTTTTTATAATAATAATAATAGTAATAATAATAATTTATTCATATTTTTCAGTGTGTGCACTACAGCTTTTGAAATCACTGACTATATTAAATAATCTGTTGTTAAAAAAAGAAAGTATCTAAATGTTTGTTGATATGTACAGTTAAATTCTAAAAAAAAACTCTAAAGACATATACCGTTACATACTTAAAATATTAACCGCTAAGTAGCTAAATACCTAAACTAACATATTCCAGTAAAATAACTAAACAACTAAGCATTGTATATGTACTGTCTAAAATGTTTGAGAGATAGCACTCTCTGCGCTCTCAATGTTAAAATCAATGTTCTTAATATCATACATGACTTTCCTTGCCCTTGAACCCCTCAAGCATGTAAGTGCCGATTTCAATAAAGCGAATGAGATTCTGGCTCTTATCCAACTCATAGTAGTCGCATAATTTTCGCCTTTCTTTATGGCGACCAACTCTGCCAATCGACTATGGTATCTCACACAATAATAATAATAATAATAATAATAATAATAATAATAATAATAATAATAATAATAATAATGATAATAATAATAATAATAATAATAATAATAATAATAATAGTAATAATAATAATAATAATAATAATAATAATAATAATAATAATAATAATAATAATAACAATGAAAACGTTATTGAATTTTTTACGTATATATACAATTGTAAATCTCACTACTGACTTAGGTAATTTACAATTGGCTACATGAATCACAGATCGAGTACTACATATGTGGTACAATATTTACAGTAAAAACAGGAATAAAATGAGTATATGATTATATATATTATTATATATAGTTATTAATTTAAATGTTTAACAATTCAGGGTTTGTCCACTCTTTGTTTTGACAGCAAAAAATATAGTACGTCGCTCTAATGGCATAAGACGTCATCTTTTTTATGCAGTAATGTTGATGCTTTTTATCGATTCCTATAGTGTCTAACATTTCTAAAAATGTGAAGCATTCTTTGTCAAACACACCAAGAGAGCTCATTGATAAGTTTAAAAATTTAACAGAATCAAAGTGACCCCTTTGATCTCTAATTAGATCTTTATATTTAGCTTTTTTGCGTTCAACGTTAGTACGGGCTTTTGTAGCCGGATAGGTCAGCATAAAGTTGACATGGATGTGATTGTTTGAAACGTAATAATAATAATAATAATAATAATAATAATAATTTAAACAACAGAAATCTTTAATAATAACATGATAATTTATACAAATATATCACATAATTAGACTTTCAATTAAATCAGGAAAATAGAGAAACAGTTCACTATATTAGACAGATAGGTCCATTCTCTACACTTTGTATCAATAGTAGCTAATAAAAATTCAGTAAGTCTGGGTTATTCCACGGCTTATTTCTTCTGCAGTAAATGTAGAATGTTGCTCTCAGAGCTACCTCCATACATTTTTTAATAATACGTTCGTCGTTCATTTCAAGTGTTCGTAATAATCTACGAAATCTGTCAATATCTTTCGACACAAACCCTAGAGTGGTTACTTCAAGTGTAATAACTTCAAACGCATAACACGCCGTGATCAGCTCAGATCTTAGATGTCTGTATCTTTCTTTCTTGCGACGTTTAGCCTTCGTACAATTGGTTTCGTAGGGAACAGTTAATTCAACCACATATACAGAACCCTTAAAATCCACCACTATATCAGGTCTTAGCGTTCGAAATAAAGTTGAAGTACAGGTCATACCTGAATTAGGACAGTCCGCAAACAGTCGAAGATCTGCACCAACTGCGACTTTTAAGTGATGGATAATAGTCATCAGAATCGAGTCATGCCGCCAAGTATAGCGTTGTTGTTCTAGGGCTACCTTGCAGTTGGAAAAAACGTGTAGCTGGGTTTGTAACTTGTTGCACAGCTCACAGTTGGCGGAGTCACGAATGTTCCAGCGCTTTAGGTTAGAATTATTTCCTAAACTTAAAATTAACGCTCTCCTAGCAAAGCATACTATATTGCTGGGCATTCGAGTGACAATTTCGTGTCATACTTTAATCATCTTCTTATAGCAAGTATCAGTTAAGCAGGTAATGATCACGGATTGTTCTTTTAGTTCTACAAAGTTTGACCAAATTTTGTTAAGATCAATTTTCTTTAAGTAGTGTTGGATTTCATCAAGAATCTCAATTTTGGTTTCAGTACAATCCATTTCAAAATTGAATTGTTTACCTAAATACATAAAACTTTCACCGTCCTCGATTGGGGGAACCTGTTGACCAGAGATTTTTATAGTAGGTTTATACTGGACTGCTTTTGTCCCAAACTTTTTGATCCCAAAAGTGTGGCACTTATTTACTCGGATATATAAGTCTGCCCAAGAGGACCATTTACTAAATGCATTACACAGTAGTTGATTGTCTTCGTTATGTGCAGATATAATTGCAGCATCGTCCGCAAATTGGAACCAATGACGAGGGTTTAAGGATATATCATTAACATAACCAAGGCACTGTATTCTTTCATCATTTATCGTGTTAATGAGTGAATTCACGCATAAATTGAAAAGCAAGGGGGACAAACAGTCTCCCTGCAGTACGCCCCGTTCTACAGATATCGGTATGGTTATAAAATTCTTCGTCACGATTGAGATACCATAATCAGTGTAAAGGTTTTCTATCATACCAGTGATTTCGTCAGGAATGTGGTGACTTTTTAAAATAGATTTTATCAGGTTATGGTGCACTTCTCCAAATGCGTTTTTGAGATCGATTAGAGTGACAATGATAGACCGCTGCTTGTTGCGGGCGTGGTTTAATAAATAGTTTAACAGTTCAGTATGTTCAACTGTACCAGACAAGCCTGGCCAGAAACCCTTTTGAATGTTTGTTTCGATATATTTATTATCGCGCACGAATTTGAAAATTTTGTTCCTTATCGCAGAGGTGAAAACTTTCAACATGCCTGGCTCTAAAACAATTGGGCGAAAATTAGCAGGATTGTCAGGTGAATCCTTTTTGTAAATGAGTACCGCAACAGCACGTTTCCAGATAGTCGGAATATATTTTTCGGTCCAGCATTTCGAAAGGAGTCTCCAAAGCTGTGTTCTCAGGATGGGGCACCGTTTAAAAGGAATAATACTTATTTGGTCAATAGGGCAAGGAGAACCACTACTTTTCATTTTCCGAATTATTTTCGTTATTTCTTGGTAAGTTGGACATTCCAGGTCGAAATTGCTCGATGGCACTGGAAATGGTTTAAGCCAAGAGGGAAGGTTGAATGTTCGGTTTTTATGCTTTTCGAAGAAAATATTTCTAAAATAATCATAGCAGGACGATTCGTCAAAATTCGGTTCTTGTGTCTCTGATTCTTCAAACTCTTTTTTACAAAATTTCCAAAAATCTTTACTTAATTCTTCTTCATAATTACGCTGAACATGTGACTGCAATTTCTTCCGCAACAGTCTACTGACATATTTTATTTCTTCCAGTTTGCCGTTCTGAAGTTTAAGATTTCTGAGGCATTTCTTTAGCTTTGATTTTGACATTTTATAATATTATTATTATAATTAAATTATAGTAATAATAATAATAATAATAATAATAATAATAATAATAATAATACTAATAATAATAATAATAATAATGGAAACTTTATTTATTGATTATTAGGATATATACACAACTACAATGATAAACCTCGCTTTACAGGTAGTTTATCAATGTCTACTTGAATTGATACTATATATTTATTGTACAATAATTATTTTAAGAAGGATTATATTAACATTAATTTTGGGTTATCCCACACCTTGTTTCGTTTACAAAATACATAATATGATGTTCGTATGCATATGTTCACGATTTGCTTTTTTATGTATTTACTATACTTGGCATCACATTTAACTTAAGGCTACTTAGCATGCCATCGAAATTTTCAGAAGATCGGCCAAAAACTCCGAGGGTACTCAAGGATAAATTGACAAACTTGACTTTATCATAATCTGCTTTCTGCTCATTGATTAGATCACGGTACTTTTGACGCTTACGATTGGCGTTAACTTGTAGATTGGATTCATAACCGACTGTAAGCTCGAGGATGTATAAACATCTGTTTTCAGTCACCAGCAGAAGGTCAGGTCGTAAACGATCTCCCGCGATAACAGATGGATTCATAAAACCAGGAATGTCCGCGTAAAGTGTGGAATTTTTCACAGCAGTAAGAGTGGATGCGAGGAAATTTAAAACAGAATCGTGTCGCCATGTAAACCGGCCTTGGTCTAAATATGTCTTACATCCAGCAATCACATGGAGCAGCGTTTTAGGTGAGTAGCAGAAAAAGCAATCGGATGTTGATGATAGTCCCCATTTTGATAGGTTCTTTCGTGTTGGAAGTGTGTTATTGATATATCGGATGGTGAAGTTAAAAATGTTTTTCGGAAGTTTGCTCTGAACGGATGACCATAAAGAGTTGAATGTGGATGTGGAATGATTCATGATACTGGAAAAGAAAGAACCTTGCGAAATGAGGTGGTTTTGAAGTCTTTGTTCGTTTTCTTTTCTAACTGCCTTAAGTACGTCTTTTGTGTCTTTGTAAATATCATAATAATAATAATAATAAAAATAATAATAATAAAAATAATAATAATAATAATAATAATAATAATACGAAAATTACACAACAAATTTATGTAATGAAAAATACTAATGTACCCATTAAGGTTGGGCCCATTGAGGCCTTATGCATTCAGAAGGCATTGCCTAAGAGGGAAATCTACTGCCATGAGCAGCAGAAACAGCATTTTCCTTGCGATAGTTCTAGTTTTCTATCGTATAAACAATAGTCATGGTTAAAGAGCTAAACTTACTTTTTGTTTCAACTGCAACTGCTGGCATTCTTTGTTTAGGTTTTGTCAATGTCTTCTTTGAGGCTTTACATAAAAGGAAGCAAACATAATTTATTATAGGCTTAAGTGTTTAAAAGAGTGAGAAACAACCCAAAAATTTTATACATTGCACTTGCCAACATATTTTATTAACTCATTACAGCTCAGTCGTCTCTCTGTGATGAGTAAAATTGTTTGGCGTTTGGCAGAGTAAATTGCTGCTGTTAAGCTGTTAATATACAGGGAACAAGGGCAAATAATGTTAGCCAATCAGCGCGTTTGTTTACATTTTGCGTTCTTGACCAATCAGAATGCCTGAAATTCGAAACATGTAAACAAAAGGAGTGAGAAAATAACACCTTGTTCTACGCCCTCGGTGACATTCGATATTAAACTTTTTTCGCCAAAACTGACAAATTCTGCTAAAGCATGCTTTCTTCTTTAATTTCCTCGGGGGGATTTTTAAAATTCGATCTAGAACGCGAAATATTTATGTTTGAATAACAGTGTTTCGACGCGCGTAAAATAGCAGACTCTCACTTGCACTATCTTTACACACACATAAAAAATTGGTAGATTTGGCAGTTTAAACTTATTTTCCCCACACCACAGCTGACATGTTTTTAAATATTACCTATCTGATCTCATCGATCTCATTTCGCATCGGAAATGCGTCACAACGATCCAGGACTGACAGGTACAATATCGCATGACTCATTACTGTACATTAAAAGTACATATCCGGTTGGCAAAATGGCGATTGTCTGACAGACCTTCGCGAAGGGCTTAATATTTTTGCTAATAAACTGTTCACGAGGGTTTCGTTCTGTTCGTCTTCTGGTTCGTCGTCAATCGTCATCGGCTGCCTCACTTTCTTGGTCGCTTTCGTCCTCTTCAAAGCAAGTCGCCGGGGCAATCAGCGTTACTATTTGCTGTCTTTCGAAGACCTTCCAAGAGCTTCAACATTTGCCAACGTTGTTGCTTCACAAACTGGGCAATCGCTGATGTTGGGCAGGATGCATTCGATGTGGAACGTAGGTCCACAACCACGGAAAACGTTCCAAGTGGATTAACCTTTTCGCAGGCAGGCAAATCGCAGGTAAGATTTATATTTTATATTTACAGATCTTGATACATTTATAGTCAGCGTCCTTGGAGATTGTTCCAAAATATGAGTGTGTGCCAAAGTTAAAATATTACTCATAATCTCCAGAACATGTTTGGACAATGTTTTGAATCACTGCAGTTTAGAATTAGCAGTCGTTTTAAAGACAACAGAACTGGCAGCCATGGCACCCCATAACTATTCAGTGTACAATACCAGACAATGTAAATTACCACCTCCCCCAACCCAGAAGTAGGCAGTTTTTATTTCCCAGCACTGCATAATCAAAATTGCTGGATTGTATAAATGTCTGGCTTTGTCTCAGTGGCCCTGCTTTGCCCCATGAACCCCACACTTCCTAGATTCAAGCAAGCAGGGACTTATATTGACTGGTACTTAGGTCCTGTTTATATGGAAGCCGGGCTGGCCCGCTAAGTGAGACAGCCCGGTAAGCGAGATCTCGCTGTGTAGTTATTTTTATAGTAAAAATTATTGTGCGTTTATATGGACAAGTGGGCTGGCCAGGTTGCCGAGATCTCACTTGGAAAGAGGTGAGATCTCACTTGAAAAGAGGTGAGATCTCGCTTACCGGGGTAGAAATTTCTCCATATAAACACTCACAAGCGGGCTAGCCCAGTTGCTGGGATGAAAGATACCGCCGCAAGCTATTTTTAACAACTGTCAAAACCAGCAAGCGGGATGAAATTTTCTCATATAAACACAAGAGAAATTCATCCCGCCTGCCTGTCTCCCTAAGCAGGCCAGCCCGGCTTCCTGCATATAAACAGGCCCTTAGTTGAATTGCAGCACTTGGTCTGCCGGTGTGTTACTTCGGGCTGGTTCTTTGCAAGGTAAAAGAAACAAGAGGTGAGAATGGAAAGCCTCTGATCATATCAATTGCAAATCCCACTTCCACACTTGAATAGGTTCAGAATTTGAATCTCACATGTGATTGGCCATTTGTAAAAATATGTCAAACCTGTTTGGCAAATAAACACTACTGTGAGCTAATTATAGCTATCTATCTATTTAGCTTTGCCAACTAGGGCCGGGTCACCACAACAGCATATGCCAATTACTGTGAGCCCTTTTTACCCAACCCACCCTGTCAACTTTCCATGTGGGAGGAAACTGGAGTACCCGGGGAAAACCTGTGACGTTCGGCAGAGCGTTGCGGTTTATTCTTTTTACATGAGGACTGGGTTTGAGTCGCATTGAGAAAGTTCTCACTGACTTGGACCTGCGGCCTCAGAGGTGACAGGCAAGTGCGCTAACCACTTGGCCACCGAAGCCCCAATTAAAAAGCCCCAAGCTATTATAGTAAACTCAACCAAGCATGAATATTAATACTCCCGCAGGTGAAAAGGTATTAAATTTCTCAGGAGATAAACATATCAACATTAATCAGTTTTGGAGGACATGTAATACATTCTTGGTTGAGTTTAACAGAATATTTTTATACAGGCTATAATTAGCTTACAGCAATGTTTATTTCCCAAGCCAGTTTGGCATATTTTTACAAATGGGCAATCACATGTGAAATTCAAATGCTGAACCTAATCAAGTGTGGAAGTGGGATTCGCAATGGACAGTGACCCTGGGCTGTACA